AGACATGACTGCACGCACGAACAATGTGGGTACATTTTGCATATCTCTAAACTTTTTTTTGACCCAAGTCCAAGCTCATTATTTAATTTAAAAATCTATATTAAAAATATATCCATATATGCAGACTTAGATTTTATAATAAATTTTTGAATTATTGTTAATTTTTTTTGTCCAAACCTTTGTTGCGGTAGGTTGTCCAATTGAGGAGGTTGTAGATGTATGCTTGGAGTTGGAGGATGTGTAATATTTCAGAAATCGATTCTAATTTTCGGAATCCTATTATTATTATTAAAAATATCGAGTTAGTATTGATTAAATAAATGATATATTTGTATTAACATATACCAATTAAAGCTCTATCAAGAGGTGCAAGAATATCTTGATATGGGATGGAAGGATCACGATTTGCTATTGATATAATAAAAATTTTAGTAAAATACAATTGTATTGATAGTTAACTTATTTTTCGCACCTTTCTTGTCCTCTGTTATACATGCTATAATGGATTGCGCATAAGCAAACTGAGCAACAGACTGTAGATACAAAGAATGTTCTGCAAGTATCTAATAAAAATCATGTAAAGTTAAAAAAAATATCAACAATGTAGCAATAAGATATTGAAAAAAAATTACCGTCGGCAATACTTTCTCAATTATGTTTTTTGACCTTCTGGCCAGATTAAAATGTAACAGTATTTGAGCTAGACGAATATTTGCTAGCAAATAACTGCCTTGGTAGTTAAAGCGCTCACTTAGACACAATGAGCTTAACACAAACGGAAGCGCTGATGTCGGGTCGTCGCTCTCCTACTTCACCAAAATGATGCATAAATATAAATGATGATGGGAAATAATAAGCGCTCAAAGAGATACGTACCATTCTAATCTCTGCAAGTTTAAGTGCATAAATAGTGACGAGCATTTGATTGGGAGAACGAGATCGTGAGCTGTCTTCTATTAATCGATAAAGAATATTTACTGCCTGACAAAGACAAAAAAAAATAACACAATAGATGAGTTAAATTATTCTTGCTTTTATACAAATGACTTTAAAACTTTACCTCATCTTCACGATTTAATTTGCTCAATGCTAAAGCACAATGATATTTGAAATCTGAATATAGCACTTCGTCATCTTGACAAATTGCCCCAAATTGTGCTTCATTTACTTCAATGTTTGCCCATTCACCTCTAAACACGTGTTGTCGAAGATATATAGAATGAAAAATAAGCAGCGCATATAAACACATGTTCTAATTCATAAACCAACCTTTCCGTGCTCCTCTGATGCAAAACTTTACCCAAACAAGCAGCCCAAAGTGATGCAGAAGTTCTAATTTCGAGAAATTTCTCTTTCGATTCCGAAAGTAATTTTATCGCTTCATCGTAATTGCCATGAGAGATATGCTATATAAAAAATTAACATATATCAAGGAAACTTTACGCAAACAGTAGAATCCTTAATAACGAATACAAATAATCAGTTAAGTACTTACACGATCGGCCAATTGACAATACGCTATCACAATATCCTCAAGATTTCCTTCTGGATTGTTTATCACTTGAGAAGTATACAAAGTAGATAACGTCGAAAATCCTAAACCCCATCAATAAAAATTTATGAGATTACAACAATTAAAATATTATATATTTTTGGTTTACATTATAAAGCACCTTAAATAATAGTTACCGTATGTTTCGTAAACACTAGCATTCAAAAGTTTTTCCTGTCCATACATGCTCTTTGACGAATTTTTTGAGCCTCTAATGGCTTTCATATTCAAGGCAGAGCTTCGGAGTAATGATTCATAGACAAGCGTCGGTGATTCGCCCTAAATAAGCAAATTAATAATCGCATTTATTATTATTATTTTTAGAAAAAATTTCTAACAAACTTGTTGCAAGATTCGTTGTGCTTTGCCAAGCTCGCCTAAGGATTGCAAGCAGAAAGAGTTTGACTCCTTTGCATTGGTAATTAATGATTCGAGCATCTGCTGTTCTGAGGCGCCTATTCGTGCCGTTCCAACTGAATCAATTGATTTTAAGCGATATAACCAACTGTATGTGTGTGTTCGAATAGAAGGTTACGATGAGACATATTAAAAAATAAAATCCGATTCTTTGTATCATACCTGAGAGCAAACCGTAGGCACTCCTGATCATTATTCTCGCGTGCCATACGTATAGCTTCCGAGATGGCCTTTAGTAAAAGAAAAAAAATTGACTACCGACAAAGGAATACATGTTTAAATACCATAATTTTGAATTAAAAATTACCAAAAGTGCTTGATTCTTATGACCAAATTTTGCATGAAGTACAACTAGATTCAAAAGGACATGCTGATACCAATTCCTTTATATCATCAAAATATAATGAGGATCTAATTAGAACCGCATGTCCAAATCCAAAAAGAAATCAAATGTGAAAAATAGATTATAAAATGAACTAGATTCCGTCTAATGTTATATTTAGAGATTGCTCGCACGCGCTCTAGATCCACAAGCACATTAAACACACCTATTTTGTTCGTCTTCCGGGCAGAAGTTAGAAAATTTATAGAAACTTCGTATGGCTCCTTCATACTCGCCTAATTGCATGCAATTTAAATAACTATAGTCAAAAAATAAGTAAAGGTCAGAATAAGAATAATATTTTTGTAGCGATTCATTAACTTACTCTATGTAGTACACTATTGAGACTTCCGGCAACCTTTCATGCATTTCTCGAATCCGCGTTTCAAGCTCAACAGGTAGAACACCACCATATTCTATAGCAAATATTAATTGATTGTTCAATCAAAAATTTTCAAATAATAACAATAATCATCATCATCATCATCATCTCGTAGATAAAAATTTACTTACTACGAAGCTGATCAATCAAGTAGAACGAAAACTTTTCCGCATCAGATTTAGCAATAATCACTAACAATCAAGTAGTCTATTGTAATTGGTAAATAAAAAAATTCAAAGCATAGCACAGCAAGAAAAAAAACCTTGTTTATGTGTATGATATTTTTTTATTAGATCAAATAACACAGCACTATCGGACGCGGACGATTGAGGCGATACAACTTGTTGCGATGCAACAGACTTGTAGTCGCAAAACGCTTGCCATAATTTACCCAGTTCATTAAAAGTTAACTTGTTTCCTTCGAGATGACAACGCCGCACAAAAAATCCCAAAGGGCTATATCTGCACTAAACAATAAAAGAGAATTAAATGAAACGCGTGTATAAAATTATTTACGCCCAAAATGTTATATTTGCGATTCAAAATAAAATAATACCAATTTTTTAATGCCAGGCTAATGAATAATAATAAAATTGATTAATATAGCTTTCAGGTAAAAAAAAAAAAAAAAAAAAAAGGTATATTTACATCTATAACTCCAGAAGATGCTATCATATTCTTCGATGCTGCATAATATCAACATGCCTCAAATTCTCACTCAAGAAGTTAAGCAAATAAATAAATATATGTATATATTCTACCTTTCAAAAAATCGATCAAATCGTGCGGTGAGCACAGATTCACTACTAACTAATTTTTTCATCAAGTTTGACATCAATATCGGACACTAGTGCACAAAATCCTGATTTGAAACAGATCAAGAACAATATAAAAACCTCTTTTAACAAGTGATCTTTGATCGATTTGCCCTCAAGTGGTACTTCATTTTTCAATTCTTCACAGAACTCAAGTAGACTTGGTTCCGGAAATCGACATTCATTCTAATTATGAATTTTGTCATTTAATCATCATTATTCCCTAAGAAACATTCATTGATTTCGCTCTTCCTTTAAATAGATAGCAAATAAAAAATGAATACCGAGGTTTTATCAGTTAAAAAGAACAATAATTCTTCGTCAAACTCTTCTTTCTTTGAATTAAAGTAATACTTTATTAACCCTAGCAGGGTAATTTTGTGTGGTGTGAGATATGTTGTTTTTGCGACATTAGTAGTTCTTGAAGATTCTAGTTGAAATGACGACGACATTCGAATTCAATAGTTTTTAAAGATTCTAAACAAACAAAAAATCTATGCTATACTTTATTAGTTCATTGACGCGAAAAAAATAATTCAAAATAACTCCAACGTTAAACTATTTATCAAACAACTTTTTGAAAAAGGCTATAACGTTAATTGTTTTTGAAATTGATTTTTTAGATGGATTTTTTTTCCAAACACATTGAGGCATGACCCTCATGTGATTAAAAATTTTTCACAAAAAGGTAACTAAGTTTTTAGATGAACTTTCTTTTTCGCTTCTTCGTCCTTTAAAGGTAATTTTGAAATTTTTTTCACATTTCAATTTTTGATGTTCACGCAATGAATTAAAATGGACACTCTTTAAAGACGAATTGGATGTGTGCTCTATACTATTAGATATCGAATTATTGAGAAAGTAAAACAAATGGTTTCGAGATTTTACAATAGGAAATTTTTTTAAAATCCAAAACAATTAATTAATTGGTTGCATTTCATCTTTTTACCAATGGGCATTTGTTTACAGAACGTTCTTAAATAAACAAAAAAGTGCCTGACCTCTAGTAGTCATGGGTGGTACGTATTCCATTATATATGAATGCATATTCTCCCAGTGAAATTGTACCTGATCATTCATCAAATTTCAGCATATAAATACCTCGAGGAACTCTACAAAAAGAAGCAGTCTGATGTCCTTCGCTTCTTGCTCCGTGTAAGATGCTGGGAATACAGGTACCGTATTCAGCCGCCACGATATACTAAATCAATGATAGCATTGTGCGCGCGCACATGAATACACTCGTATACTATTAGGCATGAAATTGTTTTTGTTCCCTTAATGAGTTGGATGGTCGATCGATCGATAACCAAAAAAATATGTAACGCGGGAAAAACGAGGGAACATTAACATTTCATTTGCCAATGAACCTATATAAAAAATGCACTCACACACCACCCCGTCCGCCGATTCGGTCGATTCGGTACGGTCATTTTTCCTCAAATTTATGAAATGTTGTGTAGACAATTGAATGTTATCCATCGAGCATCTCGTCCATCTCGCCCTGATAAAGCGCGTAGATTGGGCTATAAGGTGTGAATTATGATTTATGACCACTTTCCGGATTAATTTCTTTTGATTCAGTAATTCTCTTGTTGTTTATGTCATTTATACATTTTCGATTTATCAAATATGCTGCCTTATAAACAAAAGGCTAAACAAGGATACGTTATCTACCGTATTCGTGTAAGACGTGGTGGCCGAAAGAAACCTGTACCAAAAGGTGCCACATACGGTAAACCCGTCAATCAAGGTGTCAACCAACTCAAGTACCAACGTGCGCTCAAGACTACTGCAGAAGAACGAGTTGGACGTAAATGCACCAACTTGCGTGTGTTGAATTCGTATTGGGTAAATCAGGTACGCTATAATAATGACTTCATATTGTGTAATACATGATTTTTTTTCTATTATGAATTTTATAAAAATGATAATAACAGGAGCTTTAATAAAATTAAAAACCAATAAATTAACCACCAGGACTCTACATACAAATACTACGAAGTAATCCTCGTCGACCCGAATCACAAAGTTATTCGTCGGGACCCACGTATCAACTGGATTGCCACCAACAAACATAAACATCGTGAAGCACGTGGTCTTACGAGTATTGGCAGGAAGAGTCGTGGGATTGGCAAAGGACATCTATATAATAAGACAAAGGGTGGTGGTCGATATGCTAGCTGGCGTCGTCGGAACACGCTCTCACTTCGTCGATATCGTTAGAATTGTTATAAATAGTGTATTCATTCTGACGTTTGATTAATATAATTTTTTAATTACCATTAAAAAGACATGACTGCACGCACGAACAATGTGGGTACATTTTGCATATCTCTAAACTTTTTTTTGACCCAAGTCCAAGCTCATTATTTAATTTAAAAATCTATATTAAAAATATATCCATATATGCAGACTTAGATTTTATAATAAATTTTTGAATTATTGTTAATTTTTTTTGTCCAAACCTTTGTTCAAGCTGTCCAATGTACAATACTGGTTTTAGTAAGCTGAGCTATGTTAATTTTTATCGGTGAAAAAAAAGGTACAAAGAAATAAGTTTGACGCTAATAAATAATAATACTACACAGAAATCTCAGATAGTGCAATAATAATATCTAAATTAACAAGTAGCTAATAAATAATGTACATGTCCTTTACTACACATGATATCTTTCTGCTAATCCAATACGTTGAACTACATGCTTCGGTAGACAGTAAACGGGATCAACTGGTTTTAATCCTGGGTATCCGAGTAACGATAACCCTATCATATTAAATGTATAACAAACAATTTGTAAAGATAAAAGTTAAATAAACAGATAGCTAGTAAAGATAGATAGAATAAAACCTGCGATTCCAAATAACGTATGAAACACATCAACCATGTCTCCTGGGCGATCGGCAATTCCTCCGGATTCGGGATCCTAGATTCATTACATCATCTTATTCAATTCAAAAAGAAATACCACTTTCATGAAAATAGGTTGATCTTTCTTTAATTCACCTGAGCATCCAACACAAAGTCTATTAATCTGTCTTTATTTATCCAGTGCAATCTTCCCAAGATACTGAGAGCCGATAGGACCCACCAAGAATAACATACCTATATAGATAAGAATATATCTAAACTTTGACCATGAGCGTGAATCTCTAAATAAAAAAATCTTACATCTTCCAATTTTTCAGGTCGACCATTCAACCCTCCATTCTTTAACTGTCTTTCGCATAACCACCATCCAAGTAAATCAGCATCAACCAAATGCAGAGAATTGACAATAGCAAGAGCACCAACGCAACAGAATACTATTAAAAAACTTTTTATATCATTTGAAGAAGACAAAGAAAGAAGTAACACAATCGAAAACAAAACAAAAAAAAAGGCACAAACTTTGCCCAGCATGTGATTCGGCTCCAGGCGTACTACCAAACCCGCCATCAAAGTTCTTACATTTCATTATGAAATCAATGGCTTTATCCACGTCTACCGCGTCCAAACGTTTCAGTAACGACAGACATGATAATGCCGAATATGAAAATCGTGTATCGATTTCGCCCCATTCGTCACCGGCGAATGCACCTGTCGTGGGGTCTTGAAGTAAAGAAACGTCTATGAATACCGTGTATCCAAAAAAATCATTACTATTACCATCATCGTAATAATGCATAAATTAAAGTATTTTTATAGCTAGGGTTCAAGTGAGGTTACATTCTACAATCTTCTCTACATTGACAGCATCAATCGCGTCCTCTATCACGAGAATTTGAACCGCGTATAATGTATATAATATATGTGGATCATGTCGAAGATGTGCACCGAAGCCCCCTTTTTAAATTAGAAACTTATCATTAAATTCTTTTGTTTAAAGAAAAATGGAAAAAAAATATTTGAAGCGGGGAGGTCCAATGAAACTACCATTCTCATGCTGACAAGAAACCACATACTTCACCACTTCTTCTCTATCTAATGCATTTATATTATTCAGCAGGTCTAAAGCCGTTAAACCCCAGTAAACTCCACTGAGTCGTAAGTGTTCTGTGAGCCAGTATTCGAGATCGTCGCGTTTCTGTATATAACAAAAACACATTTGCGTTTAGTTGCAATGTTTCTGAATTTGACACGACGTTTTATTTATTTTACCGTGTCCAGGTTTTTTATGTACGCTACGTGAAGCTCTGAAAATAATTCTTGAGATTTCTCTGTTGAAGACATTATTTTGTTATTTTCGAAGAATTGAGAAAAAATAGCGATTTTACCCTTATTCGTAACACTATTAAAACGTGACTTGGAACAAACTCGAAAAAAAGTTTTTCAATATCTACATTTTTTTCCCAAGTCCATCCATTAATTATGAGGTATATAATCTTTTATTGTATCTAGAGTCTCGTATATGCATGCTATCACGATTCAAACGATGAATTATATTATTTATGAAACAGTAAAGTTCAAGTGCCAGCTGTGAGAGAATCAATTAGAAACGTGCTCGCTGCTTCTGCAGAAAAAAATCGAAAGTTTAAAGAAACTATAGAATTACAAATTGGATTGAAGAATTATGACCCGCAGAGAGATAAACGTTTCAGCGGGACTGTAAAGTAATATCATTTTTTATTTTACATAGAGTTTCTGCTGTTTCACTTGTAAGAGCAAAAGCCAATATCTTGATATACACGAAATTAAGAAATTAAAATATATTTACATTTATAGACTTCCAAATATCCCTCGTCCAAAAATGTCTGTCGCCATTCTCGGTGACGCACACGACTGTGATCGTGCCAAAGAGGTTGGCCTTGAATTCATGTCAGTAGAAGATCTAAAAAAGCTCAACAAGAATAAGAAACTTATTAAAAAACTTGCGAAAAAATATGATGCATTTTTGGCGTCCGAGTCGTTAATCAAACAAATTCCTAGACTTTTGGGTCCTGGATTACATAAAGGCATTTTATTTATTGATCATATGAATCAAAGAATATGAATTTGACATTATTAATAATATATATATATATTAAATAGCTGGAAAATTCCCAACCCCGGTAACCCACAACGACGATCTAAAAGCTAAAGCCGACGAACTACGTTCCACCATAAAATTCCAACTGAAAAAAGTCTTGTGTCTCGGTGTAGCAGTCGGACACGTGGAAATGAGCGAAGATGAACTAGTCGCAAATATCATGTTAAGCATCAACTTTTTGGTGTCCTTGCTTAAAAAGAATTGGCAGAATGTGAGAAGCTTATATATTAAATCCACGATGGGCAAGCCTGAGCGTCTATACTAAGTTTGAGATCAATGTATGGTTTGAAGAAAATAACTGAATAAAATTATTTATAATCTTACTTAACTTACGCTTCGGTTTTTATTTCTTTTTTATGCCAAAACAAAATTAATAGCTTTATTAGCAAAATCGAGAGATTTGTTATTATTTATTTCGTTGCTATTAACTCTCTCAAACGGCGTATTACCAAAGTGCCATCAACATTTTTGTACGTTGTATACATATTAGTGTATGTGGTATCTATTGGGAGCTTATTAACTTGCTCAACAGTGGATGGAAAATAAAACTTATGTTATTCTTTTAGTAAAGTCAATAATGATAAAAAAGAGATACTAACTACCTTCATCGATTCCATGAATCAACATCTATCATTAAAATTGATATACTAATAACTGTTTCCAGTGCTTGTATTTTGCTGCATCTCTCAGCAGTTTAAAGTTATGCAATATCTGGAAAAAGATTTTTGCTTGACAAAATGAACAACATCTTATATAAATATTTTAAATATCAATAAATTTCAGTTAATATTATTAGTAATATATTGAAAAAATTATAATAAGTTTAATATCTAATATTTTTAATTTTTAACACATAAAAAATTTATATATTTTTATATTCTGGTTTTTTTTTTTTTGATAATATAAAATTATAAATATTAAATGTAATATAAATTAAAATTATATTGTAATTTATTAAGAGAATGTTAATTTTTATAAATTTAAATAATATATAAAATTTATTATAAAATAAATAATACTTTTATTTTGATTCAAAAATCTTAAATATTATAGTTTATAATATTAACTTAGAAATTTTTTTTAACTTTTTAATAAATATTTAAATTTTGTAATAAATTTGTAATAATTTTGATTGAATTATCTTTCTTTAGTCTAGATCTTTATTTTGTATTATCTGTATTACAGATTAGCCTTATATTATATTTTTAAAAAAATTAATTTCATATTAAATACACAGATGATTATTATGCATTTAATATATTAGATTTAATACATTATCATGCAGATGATCACTATGTGTACCTATATTATTAATTTGGATTATTAATGTTTTTAATTAGATATTTCTTTTAATAATTCTTTATTTTTTTATTCATTCTTTTTAATTATTATTTATATTATTATTTATAATTATTTATCACATTATTATTTATTGAATTATGATTAGTTGCCCTTTGAAAACATGAATTAAGTTAATTAATTCTGTTAAATTCATATATAATTTAAATTAGAAATTTATATTAATTTATTTACATTTTATATTCATTTCTTTCTAATAAATATGATCTTTCTGTTCTGTACTTTTAACTTTAAATCTGAATACTTTTAAATAATAAAAATAATTATAAGTTATAAAATTAAAACTATTCATATTGTATTTTATCTTGTTTATAATTATTAATAAAATAATCTTATAACTTAGTAGTAGTAAACATGATTATTACAAAAATCATTCTTTAATATCTTACTATATATTACATATTACACACATCACATATATATATTTTAGTTTTAATAAAATAATATCTTGTCAAAATGAACTCAGAACAATTCATATAATTTATGCAGAACATGACTGAATTGATCAAAACAGTAAAAGAAGATGATTTCTCTAATTTCAAGTTTTTATCTTGTCTTTTAGTGAAATTATCTACATATTCTGAAGAATCAAATGAAAATATACTTATTTAGATAATACAAACTAAAACTGTATTTCTGGTTCAAGAAATTACTAATGAGAAAACTCAAGTATAATATACTATCACTTTCTTTATTAATATAATATTACATTGATATTTTAATAAATACAAGACTAATAATCATGCAATTTCTTTTAAGAATTGAAATAATTTTGTTACAGTACTTAGAAAAGTATTTCAATTATCTCATTATTAGTAGTATCTTTGCAAATAATTTTGTCTTCTTCATCAAATAGGATTTATATAAGACTATGGTATAAAATTCAGAAATATAGTTAAACAAGTTACAGACATAAATGATTTAGATCAAGTTACATATTTTATAGAAGATTTAAAACTCATCATCAAAATAAAAGTTAGTTATCAGGTATCAGAAATCTTAGAAGAAGCTTGAAAATTAGCAATCAGATATGATACTACTATATATAAATAAAACAAATTTCTAGACCTACCAAGCAGATATAATAATAATAGTTATCACTCACAGAATTAACATAAAAGTTATCAAAATAATAGTTCTATACTAATGGAACTTGATCAAGCAGAAAGCTATTATAATAACAGAAAAAATAATAATAATCAGAAAAATAACAAATCTAAAGATATATATTATAATTATGATAAATCAGATCACTTTATAAAAAATTATTATTCTAAACCAAAGCCAAAATAGTAAATATTGAAAATAAGCAAGAAAAATCTTCACAGTTATATGAAAGAATTGAGTTTACTTATTTAAAAGATAATAGAGAAAGACTATTAAAATTCAATGGCCAAGTAAATGATAAGTCAGCATGAGTATTGCTAGATAATCACACATTTAGAAACTTTATTGATGAGAAATTTATTTAGAAGAATAAAGTTAAGTTACAAAAGATAATATTAGTAATAATTAAACTTGCTAATAACAAAAAGATAACTATCACCATCATAATAAAGATTAATAAATTAAAATTAGATACTTACAAAATATACAAAATGAATGCACAAGTTTTGAAATTATAAAGATATGATCTCATTCTAAATAAATCTTGATTATTTCATATCAATCTAACTATAGATTAGAGAAATAATATCATCATCTTTACCTATAGATCAAAAATAATAAAAATTCAAGCTAATAATAAAATTAAGTCTGGATCAAGCTGCAATTCAATATATATTTCAAGATAGCAGATTGCAAATCTACTAGCAAATGCAGAGCTCTTTATTATATATCTTAATAATATTGAAAATAAAGAAGAAGCAAAAAAAAAGTTACTTTCATCTGAAGTATTAGATATCAAGAAGAAATATAAAAATATATTTCCAGAAATCTTACCAAATCAACTATTACTCAAGAGAGTAATTAATCATAAAATTAATTTCATTCCAGGATCTAAATCATTATCCAGATTCATCTATAGACTCTCTTTTACTGAGATGGATAAGCTCAAGAAATAATTAACTGATTTAATACAGAAAGATTTCATTCATCCAAGTATTTCATTATTTAAAGTATCAGTTCTTTTTATATATAAGAAAGAAGATATATTAAAATTATATATTAACTACAGAGCTTTAAATAAAATCACTATTAAAAATTACTATTTCTTATTAAGAGTTGATGAGTTAATAAACAGACTTATAGGATTAAAATATTTTTCAAAGCTAAACTTATATTCAAAATATTATCAGATATGTATTGCAAAAAAAGATATATATAAAATTGTATTTAGAACTTATTATAAATACTATAAGTTCTTAGTTTTACCTTTTGGTTTAACTAATATACTAGCAACTTTTATAATACTAATGAATAATATATTTCATAATTATTTAGACAAATTTATAATTATATACTTGAATGATATTCTAATATATAGCAAGATAAAGAAAAAATACATATAATATCTTCAGATAATCTTGAAAATACTTCACAAGCATAAGTTATATACTAAGTAAAAGAAATATGATATCATATAATAATATATAAAATATTTAGAATATTTTATCTTAGCAGATAATATCTTAATAGATCAAAGAAAGATTATTATGATTAGAAATTGGCCAGCATCAACAAATATATTAAAACTTCACTTATTTCTAGGATTAGCAAGTTATTATAAAAAGTTTGTGAAAGAATTTTTAGTAATTATCTTACTACTTATAGTACTTTTTTATAAAGATAAAGATTATGAATAGTCTATAATAGCACAATAAGTATTTAATACTTTAAAGTAATATCTTATTTTAATATCAGTCAGATTCTAAATTACTATTTACAGTTATCACAAATACTTTAAACTTTGCTATTAGAGCTATACTAAGTCAAAATCAAGACAAAAGTAATCAATTTATAGTATTTAAATCAAGAAAACTTTCATCTACAGAACAGAACTATTCAGTTTATGAGAAAGAATTACTTGTAATTATACATACTATTAGATTTTGAAAGTCATATCTTGAAGAGCAAAAGTTTATAATTATTACTAATCATATTTTCTTGGAATACATCAAAATATAATATAATCTTTTCAAAAGACAGGCTTGCTAGTTAGAAATATTATAAGCTAGTAACTTTAAAGTTAAATATAAATCTAATAAAGATAATATAATTATAAATGTACTTTTTTATCAATCATATCTGACAAATATCTTAGTTATTATTATCAATCTTATTGATAAAGAAGACTTGATAAAGAAGTATCAAGAAGATAAATATTTTAGAAAATTATATGAAGTCTTAAAAAACTTTAATAATATAATATTTAAGTAATAGATCAAGATTAAAAATTTTTGAATTAAAAGAAGAATTATTATATTTAAAGAATATTAATTATCTAATTATTCCAAATAATAAAATATTAAAGGTAAAGATTCTATTTGAATTTATAATATACTAATAGCAGAATATATTGAAATAGACAAAATATATACAGTTATATCTTAATAATTCTATTAGCCAAAAATAAATAAAAGTATTCACAAATATATTATCAGTTATGAATTATATTAATGCAATAAATCTAATAATCAATAATCTTTAGAATTACTTCAATCACTTGCAATTTCAAAATATAAATGAGAATATATTATTATGAATTTTATAGTTTAACTTCTAATTATCAAATCTAAATATGATACAATAGTAGTATTTGTAAATAAATTATCAAAAAGAATGTATTTCATATTTACCATTACAACAATAACTGCATCTGATATTGCAAAAATATTCTTTAAAAATATCTTTAAATTACATAATCTATCTATAGTTATTATATTAAATAGAGATACTAAATTTTTA